CACAGGAAGGAAAATGTCTAATGTGTCAGACGAGAAAATAAAGCAGAGACGGGATCTAGGGAGCGCTATGGGGCTGCAGCTTTAAGTGGAGTTGCCAGGGAAGGCGTCACGAGCCTGCGACCCCTTAGAGGGTGACAGAGTGAGCCTTGCAGACATCAGGGGTGCAGCGGCACCCATGCCGGGGGACGGGGTACAGGGACAGGAGGTGCAGTCAGCCTGCGCATCTGAGGAAGAAAGGGAGGCCGGCGTGGCTGCCACACGGATCAAACGGGACACGAGTCAGAAGAGAGGTCAGGAGGGGAAGAGGGCTTCACGAGGCAGGGCCTGCAGCCACGGCAAGCCCCGAGTCCGCTGTACTGTGTGTGAGCTGCGGAGCCCGCTGAGGGTCTTGCCACGTAGAAGTGACAGGATCTGACAAATGTTTTAAGACAAGGACTCTGGCTGCTCTGTAGAGAACAGACTCAAGCAGGGCTCGTCCTCCCAGTGAAATCACTGGTCTTAACTTGAGGAAGAGGTTTACATGCACGAAGAGAAGAACCTCAGGAGTCAGAGAGAATTGGCCTGAAGAACAGCCGTTTAAACTAAACGTAAGGAAAAACGAGGGACAGAGCAGTGCTGGTAACGCGTGGGTACATGAAAATTTCATTCAAGAATGTCAGTGGGTTTCTCAACAGATTCGCAAGAGCCTTCATGCTCAGTACCAGTGAGTGTGAGGCTGGGATGCCTGGGCCAGAAAAGGCTTCTCTCCACCCCCACCACCACCACAACGGGGTGGGGGGTGAACCCCCATATCTGCAAACTCAGGGCCCTGCGTGCACAACGTTCTTCAGATGTGATGAAATGTTGTCTGTTGTGCATTTAAGTGCTACCTTACTGACCAGCTGAAGAAGAGCCTCAGGATGTACTTTTCGGGCCAGGGCTCCGACTCTGCACCATTTAGGTGGCGACGATCATAAAATGGCTCCCGAGAAAATGATGCAGCGTCTTTTCCAGATCGCATCTCGAATGCACTTGATGGTTAACGGTGCAAAATGTGAAATACAAGGAAAAAACACATCCAGGGAGGGGGAAAAAGATAGCGGGAGAGAGAAAACCATAAAAATGTTTCTTCTTTACCTTTTCAAGGACAAAATTAGTCTACAGTATCATCAAAACCAATGACAAACCTTTGAAAACTTTCTAACTTGCCTGGATCATTTAAGTGACACCTCAGGGTGGACACGAGCATGTAAAGAACACTGGTATGGACTCCGCAGCCCTGGCCACTTTCTAACAAGAAGTTAGAAGCTGAGTCACAGTGAGGAAGGCCGGGGCCCTGCACGGTTCCCCTCCCCTCTTCCTGCCTCCTCTGATCTGCCCGCTCTCAAAGGTTGCCAACCACCCTCTGCAGATTATAAACAACAAGCCATTTCATTAAGACCCATACAACTGCCAAACAAAATAGAGGAACTTAGTTGTAATTAAACAATCGTTTTATGCTCCTTGGTTTAAAAGGCCAAATACCAAACAACCAGAAAAGCAGCCCATGCTGACCAACCAGCCCCCACAGTCCTCTCCCCCCGACTTCCGCTCCTCGCCTCTGTCTCACCGCATTTCCTAAGTCTGCAAACGAGAGGGGGGGGGGGGGGGGGGGGGCACGTGTGCCCCTTTGCACTTCTCAGTGGGATGGGTTATCACTTTCACGCACACTGAGAGGTGGGAAGGCCCTGGAAGATGCTGCAGAAAACGCTGAAACTGTAAACATATAGAGGTCAGTGAATGACAGTTATGAATCTCCAAGGAACAGAACAGTGGTATATATCACACTCATTGACTTTCTGTACGACCAGCAGAGCAGTGACTTGAGTATGGCATATATCAAAGAGGTAAAGCCCATGTCTTATGCCAACAAACCCTAACTTTAAATTTCTTCATGCTGTGCCTTCAAAATGTCAACCCCCAAATTTTATTTCCAAGCTTAGAAATAACCAGTCTAACATGTCCCTCTGATGTGGAGCTGGGTGTGATGATGTCATCATCTTCGGTGGGCATGCGAGTTTCATTAACACCGTGAAAGAAACTAATACTGATGCTATTTTTCTCTCTAGGCTCCCCAGCTGCAGGGTGCAGAGACTTTTCTGGGGTGGTGATGGACGTGCACGCATGCAGCCACCCCTCCCCGAGTGAATCCCTAGTGCACACAGACACACGTGTGTGCCCCTTCCAACATGCAAGGCGTGCAGCTGGGCCTGACAGCTAGCCTGCGGTTCGGCAAAGCTATCTGGCCTGTGCAGGCTCACACTCATTAGCATTTTTCTCTAAGCCCCAGTTCCCGTTTTGCTAAACTGGAGTTTTTTGGACCTTAGGGAAGGGGCCACACCTATGCTGTGGAACAAAATTATACCCGAATGTTTTCCTGAGGACAATTGCTCTGATAAAGCAACGGTGCCGCACATTTCAATGAACTGGCAATCTCCTGCTTTCAGTCCTTTTGTTCTAAGTAATTTCTCCCTTCTGATGAGAGGGGGTCAAAATGTTTACACCACTTTCTGGCACGGATCTCTAGGAACTTAAGCAAAACGTAAGGAGGGGGAAAAACAACAATTTGCATAATACTATCATTCACTGCAGATGGAAACACATGGAAACAAGGACTTCACCTCCCAACAGGAAACTATCCATGGTCCTAGCAGGGATCGCCACTGTCGACAGGTTATACTTCCTGAGCGTAATATGAAGTCCAGACAAATCAATCATGTCAGAAAATAATCTGCTCTTACTAGAAAAGTCCATCTCTTCATCGAATTTAAATGACTTATATTTGATTCCTATGGTTTCAAAATACCTGATGATGAGACAAGGGTTAATTTTCCGGATACTGAATGAAATAGGTTTTTTGGAGCTATGTCCTTTACAGGAATTCATTAATGAGTAGCACGGGCTACAGTCAAGCCTGAGAGCATAAGACATTTCTTCTCTCAATCTCCTTCAAGTCGCCAATAAAAGGCACAGGGGGCTTTGGGGGCCAGAATGACTAGGCTAGCCCTGAAGTCTCAGGGAAATCATTTAACCTGAACTGTCTGCCTTTACCGTCCTAACATGGGGTTAATACCCTTTAGCTTGCAGAGTTGAGAAGTGTCGAGGATGTGGTTGGACCTTAATAAGTGGCAGTTATTATTGTTACATAGAAAGGAAATCAGGAAGAAAATAGTCAAGAGAACACTGACTATTTATGGGCTTCATATCCTTCGCAAAGCTCAGTATTAATTAAACAATGCGTGTGAGTAATGACCTCAGTAGTAATGTAATCTCTTAGCAAATAATATAACGCAATAATGTAATCTCTTGGCAAAGTCTCTGCTGCTTATCATGCCATTACCTTTTCTAAGGGCTGCACCTGTATTGACATTTAACCTCCACATTGACCCTATGAGGTATTATTTATCATCCTCATTTTACCAATAAAGAAATCGAGGCACAGAGAGGTTCAGTAATTTGCTCAAGGTTAAAACAGAAGAGTCAGGATTCAAACCCTGGCAATATGACTGCAAAGCTTATGCATGAAACCACTCCATGAAGAGTCTGAAAATAACATTTATGTAAGTTAATAGCCATTCACTCATCAGATGCCCATTAAATACGTACAGGAGGCTACATTCTGGGCTAGGCAAGTGCATCTAAAACTCTGTCAAAACACAGAGCCTGTAACCTTTAAGAAGCTACCACTATGGAGACTAGAAGCAATTACACTACCCCAAAGTTGAGGCTCATATTTCTCCAGATTTTTTTTTAAAAAGCATCTCCTTTGTATTACTGTTACTTCATACCCACACAATTCCAAAAATTATGGCACAACCATTAAGAACTTACAGAACTCATCAGGGTTCCTACATCCTCTGAAAAAAATATGCATAGAACTGTCTCTGCTCTTTGTTCATCTCTATGTTAAGATCTTTTAAAACAGATACCAAATTTATCCCGATGGTCTTACTAGAGTGTGTCTAACATATAACCACCCACATGGGTCATAAAGAAAGAATTTCTGCTCATCAACAATACCAAAAATTTGACCAATGTTACAGGTAACTCGAACAAGTAGCCAAGGACGCCCGGGACAGGGGCCCTGTTTCGAGGCACACAGATGGGGCAACGGTTCTGCGGCCAGGCACACAGATTCCCTTCCTCTTCCACCTCTTCCAGTCTCGGTCGTCACATTTCACCGTCTCCAAAGCACAAAGAGTAACATAAGGAGGCTTCTGACTACCAGAAAACACAAAACACTTCGTGAGCTTTAAAGCAGGGTCACTCTCATGTACTCTAAGATAGAACAGTTATAGCCTATGAAAACCAAAAAATAATTGTGGATCATGCACAATTGTAGAAAATGTGTCATGTCCATAATGTCTATAAAATCACTTACGTTAAAAAGTGTTGCCTTCCTTGCATTTTTAATCATTTTAGTTTCAAACAATTGTACTACTACGTACTACCAAGTAATTACGTAAGTTAACACCAGAACAATAATGCAACGGCAGTAGCTTCTGCCTTCTGTCCCTTTTTAAGGGGAAGCAGGCTGTTCAGAAGCCAAGCGGGTTAGTGAAAGGAATGCAATCATTCTCAGCTCGCTTTGGGTGAAGGCTATTCTGAAGTGCAAAGACCTTTTTTTTTTTTTCATCCTTTTGCAAGAAACAGTGGGAACCAGAGGACAGTTAGCAACATGGCAATCCCACGCTAGAGGTGTTCTAAAGGATCTTGAGAGAGCATCTAACAGGCAATTAACACACAACCGCTGGCTTTGCAGGTCTCAGCAGCCATACCTGCGACCACGGAGGGCATTTCCCTGCTTCCCCCGGACAAAAGGGAAGCGCTCCCAGGAGCCCAGGCCCTGCTCACCTGATTCTGTCTCCTGGCAACCCCCGGCGCAGGGCTGCAACTTGGAGGTATTTCCCCAAGATCTGGTTACTTCCCGTCCCTCCTTTTTATTGATTGTCTGCAATTCCCTCAGTGAAAAACACGCATCCTTTTCAGCTTTGGATTTTATTTAGCTTTTCAAGTGCTGCGCTGGTGGCAGTGCTGCTGTGGGACCCGGATTTTTTATTAAGAGGAAGTCTGGAGGTCCCTTGTAATGAGGGTTCAGGTACGCTGATTGAATCTTTCGTTTGCTTATGTGCAGAGCACTTTTAGATTTGCTTTTTAAGTTCACTTGTTGGCTGGAAACTTCTTGGAGAAAGAAAACAGTAGAGAAGCATCTTTTGAAAGTATTGCCTAATTACTGGCATTTCATTCACATTATGCCTGATCCTGGTGTGCATCTATTATTCTGAAGACGGTATTTTCCTTTTTAATTCAGTCGTTAGAGGATGATGCCAATGATTTTTTGTAGTAAAAAAATATGCATTTTGTGATTCATTGCAACACCTTGGGAGTCCCAGACTTCACTTTATTTGTGCGGTTTATTCAAACAGTGGTTTTCCTTATGAAATCACATAAGTAGGAACCATCTGGAAAGGTTACTGTGGAAACGGCAGGGGCTAGGGGGCGGGGATAGAGAGCAAGAGATGCCATGACAACCTTTTTCGGGTTTCCCAGGAAACATGGGTTGCTATGGAAACTGCATCAGTCAGGTCCGAATTAGTAACTTCCACTGGAAGGAGTGTCTGCCACTTTAATCTTCTTGTGATACTGCAGAAGTTCACCTTTCAGATGCACTAGGAATTTTTTTGTTGTTTCTCTCAGCAGCACTGAAAACATCTGTTCCTCATGGCTGGAACACACACACACACACACACACACACAGAACTTCACAGGAACCTGTTAGTCTCAGACTTTTGAAATGCCTGACAAGCCCCAAAGAGTTCATGAATTAGAGCAGTGCATCTTGGGCATCTCCCTTTGTTCAAAGCTGTAGACATCCTTAACCTTCAGGGAAAGGGGGTTCCGAATAGAACAGAAACTCCAGTCAAAACCCAAATACACTCATGGGGGGTTTAAAAGTCTTTTTGATTGGACTTTCCATCCCCATATCCACAGTGTCGGTGATTGAACTAAATATTCAATAATGTTGAAAGGTCCATCAGACTGAAGCATCCAAGCTACGGTGCCTGCATTGCTTAGGAGAGCAACAGCTGCTTTTCAGTTCTGAGGTTAAACAGTTACTGTAACTGTTCTTTAGTTTCATTTCCTCCCAGGATGTACAAGTCCCCCCCCCCCCCATAGGGCGTGTACTAGAAATCAAGTTTAAATTGGCCGTTTGCATGATTATGAGAGAGAAAGAAAGAAAGAAAAAAAAAAGAGCGCCGAGAGAATGCAGCCCACCTGCCACGCAGCCACCTGCTCAGCGGGAAGCAGCAGCGGGGAGACGGAGGACGAGGCGTGCTTTCCGCCCCCGCGCGGCCTCTGCTCGGTGGATGGTCTGAAATGTACGGAACAAGGGCATACACAGACCGAGGGGCACGGTGCACACAATACGGGGCACGGCATGTCACTTGTAGCACATTACACGTCGGTAAATATCTTTTTGATGTTGACACAGGAGTTGGGGTTATTGTTCGTGGTGCAGGCGGCCGTGGAGTTGCCCGTTTTGAAGGGGGTCTGGGGGAAAGCGCTGTGGTTCATAGCCCCCTCTTCGATCACCATGTACTCCGACTTACTCAGAGTCGAGTTACTCCGTGTTTTCCGGAGCTCCTCGGCCGACGGGGAGAGGTGCTGGCAGCTCCCCACGTGCATGTACTGGGCTTGCTCTTCCCCTTCCGTCTCCCGGTGGTAGAAGTAGTTGAAGTTGGAGACGATCACCGGGACCGGCAGCGCGATGGTCAGGACGCCGGCGATGGCACAGAGCGACCCCACGATCTTGCCCCCTATGGTCACTGGGTGCATATCCCCGTAGCCCACGGTCGTCATGGTGACCACCGCCCACCAGAAAGCATCCGGGATACTGCTGAACCGAGAAGTGGGGTCATCGGCCTCGGCGAAGTAGACGGCGCTGGAGAAGAGGATGACCCCGATGAAGAGGAAGAAGATGAGCAGCCCCAGCTCCCGCATGGAGGCCTTCAGCGTCTGCCCCAGGATCTGCAGCCCCTTGGAGTGGCGGGACAGCTTGAAGATGCGGAAGACCCGCACCAGCCGGATGACCCGCAGGATGGCCAGGGACATGGCCTGCTGTCCGTTGCCCTGGCGCTCAGCCAGCTCCGTGCCCAGCGTGATGAAATAAGGGATGATGGCCACGATGTCTATCAGGTTCATGATATTTCTCGAGAAGGTGGCTTTGCTGGGGCAGGCAAAGAAGCGCACCAGCAGCTCGAAGGAGAACCAGATGATGCACAGCGTCTCCACCACGAAGAAGGGGTCGGAGAAGCTGGAGGTCCCGGCCCGGGCCCCCGAGGTGCTGTTGCTGGCCGCGTCCAACAGCTCCTGAGACGCCGACGCCGAGAAGTAGCTCTTCTCGTCGCGGAACTCGGGCAGCGTCTCCAGGCAGAAGATGACGATGGAGATGAGGATGACGAGCACGGACACGATGGCGATGCCCCGGGCCGGCCCGGAGCTCTCCGGGTACTCGAAGAGCAGCCACACCTGGCGCTGGAAGTCGCGGCGGGGCAGCGGGCGCTCCTCCTCCCGGAGGAAGCCCTCGTCCTCGCGGAACTTCTCCATGGCCTCCTCGCCCAGCTGGTAGAAGCGGATCTCCTCGGAGAAGATGTCGATGGGCACGTTGACCGGCCGGCGGATGCGCCCCCCGGACTGGTAGTAGTACAGGATGGCGTCGAAGCTGGGCCGGTTGCGGTCGAAGAAGTACTCGTTGCGGAGCGGGTCGAAGTACCGCATGCGCCGCTTGGGGTCGCCCAGCAGCGTCTCGGGGAACTGGCAGAGGGTCTTGAGCTGCGTCTCGAAGCGCAGCCCCGAGATGTTGATCACCACGCGCTCCCCGCAGCAGTCCTGCTCGCCGGCGGCCGGCAGCGCGGGCGGCAGCGGCTCGTAGCGGTCTCGGTCTCGGTCTCGGTCTCGGTCGCAGCCGCCGCCGCCACCGCCGCCGCAGCCGCCCTCAGGCGGGTCCCCGCCGCAGCCCGCCGCCTCCGGCTCCAGCAGGTGGTCCCCCGGCACCACGGTCATGTCGGGCGGCAGCTCGGGGCCCACGGCGGACTCGGCGTAGCCCGGGTTCACCAGGGTGCAGGCGCCGCCGCCGGCTGGGCGCTGGGGAGGGTGGGCGCGGTGCGGGGCGGAGGGCGGCGGCGGCGGCGGCGGCGAGCTCAGCAGGCTGAGACGCTCTTCCATGCGGCGGGGGCCGGGCGGCTGCAGCGGGCCCCGGCGCCCCTCCTCGCGCCCCGGGCTCCCGCGCCGCCTCCGCCCGCGAGCTCAGCCGGCCGCCTGTTGCTGCAGCGGCCGCGGGGCTTCGTCTCGCTGTGGCGCGACCCGCGGGCTCCTCGGCGGAGACGCCTCTGCGCCCGCCCCCGCGCTCCCTCCGCCTCCGCCTCCGTCCCCGTCCCCGCCCCCGCCCCCGCCCGGCGCGCGCCCGCCGCCCTCCGCGGCCCCTCGGGGTCCCCGCCCACCACGCGCGCGCCCGCCCTGCCCCTCCTTGGCCCTGAGTCACCCAGGCACCCGCTAGTACTTCGGCGTCTGCACCGCTCCCCCCGCCCCCCCGCGAACCCCTGGCCCCTGGGTTCGGCCGGCCTCGCCCAGTGAGAGCCCGGCCTGCTCGCCCTGCACCCTCCACCCGCGCGGGCCCGGGGGAGGCGGGCGCCGCGGAGGCGAGGGGGCAGCCGGCGGAGGCGAGAGGAGGGAGGGTGGGGATGTGCCCTGGATTCGGAGCTGGGTCCAGGGAGGGGTGGCAGGCCAGGTGGGCGCCCCGGGGAAGAGGCAAGTCTGCGCCCAGCCTCCTGAGCCCACCTGAGGTGGAAGACCTCGAGGCTCCGGGCCTGTAATTCATTTAGCTCCCGTTTGGATGAGAAGCTGCAGGGAGAAATGGGTGCTGGTGAGTTTGGCGCCCAGAATCCGAAGAAAACGGGTCATTAATGGCGTGCGGGGACGTCGCTTCTGTAGCGCAGAGTTCACACTAACTGTCACAGCTTAGATTCCAGCCGTGGGGAAGAACCAGGACCGCGGTTCTGGCTGGGCTTGGAGAGCGCAGCCTGGTCTTTACAGCACTGTGAGGTTTCCTGCCGGTGCGGAAATAAGAGGGCAATGACGAAATTCCCATCTCGTCTTAAATCTGGGGTGGGAGGGACCGAGCCAGACCTGTACCTAGACCCTCCTCTTGCTGCTGGCCTTGTGGCGGGGGACGTGCCACCTCTAGTTGTTAAACCGGGAGAACATCCATTCCAAACCTTGTGTCTCTCTGTTGCTTGCTTTTGGCCTGGAGATAACTTACATTCATCCCCTTTGAACCTAAATGAGTTTTCCACGTTGCTGTGGTCGCTTTGAACACAATGCCTGTTTCCAGACGTTTTTGCGACGCACAGGCAACCCCAGGCTTGAAGATGCGGTTCCTGTCACAGCATTGGAGTCATTCGCAAAAAGAGGAGCTGTTGTCGCGACACCTCCCGCACCCATCACACCTCCGCTTTCGATGGGACTTGGAGTCCGAGTGGGCCGTGGTCCTGGAGGGCAGAGACTGGGTCCTGCCCATTTACATTCCTAGCAGCGACCAGCGTGCCTGACGCATGGTAGGAACCGAGTATGCATGTTGGCTGGCATTTCTCAACAAGGGATCCTTTGCATTTCTGTCTGCTCCAGAGTGTCAGCGTGTCTTCTTTCTGAGCCCAGGAGCGTTGGGGTTCCTGGGGTGAGGAGAAGGGGAGCCTGGGCCCACAGGATGGCGCGCTGCTGGGCTATCCTGAAGGGTTTTCACCCCTGCCTCTTCCGCAATCAGCGGGCGTGTTTCCCTCCGTCCTTCCCCTCCAGGGGGGTGCCCGGCCTCGCTCACAGTAGGATGTGCTATAAGATGGTCCGAGTGGACGGCTGGGTAAAGCACGCACCGAACTGGAACACTGTCTCTGAGCTGGGGATTAGGGTGGCGGTATAATCAGTCACTCATATATTTAAATCTAAGGATAAGGCCGAGAGGGCTTACTGCAAGGATGGCTCACCGAAAGGGAAAGAACCTATTTTTAAAGACCAAATGTTTCATGCACCTCTCTGTCTGGCTTAGCAAGTGATTTATTTCCCTATTTGCAGGAATTAGTCCTGAAATTAACATTAATCAATGACAAGGGAGACCAGCACAGAGGATGGTCACAAGCTTTTCTCTGCTGCGAAGCCTCTGTCCTTCAGAAATGACTGTTTCCATTCCCTTCATGCGTTCCCCTTACCTGGAAGGCTGCTCATGAGCCCCATAGAACAGCCCTCACTTGCTATTTGAGGCCCAGAGTAGTGTAGCAATTTCTTCAAGCTCACACAGCGAGGCAGAGGCAGAGCAGGGCCTGAAATCCTGGACCGTTTCCAAACCCAGGGTTCGCTGTACTGAGTCACACTGTGAAGCTCTTATGTTGATCGCTGTGAGTGCTTAATAAATGCTAGAGCTCACACAGCAGCCTATTTGCTGCTGATTGCCGACTAGTTTGCCTCACGTCGTATTTATTTTAACCAAAAACCACCGCCTTCTGACGGCTAGCCTATTGTTTACAGGGAAGGAGTTGGTGGGCGAACCCCAGCCCTGCTGGACGGCAGGGCCCATCACAACAAATCAATGTCAAACATGGCGTTCCAGGAGAAACACACACCACTTATTTAGTGCCCCCAGTGGAGCAGCTCAAAGTGATTTGAAAATGTCTCATTAATCCCCACGACACCCTTGTGGGATAATAATAATATTATTGTAATGTTTAAGCGTAGAACTGCGGCGGAGCCAGCAGCTCCCCGGAGCACGTGCAGAACTTCCTTCCTCGCATTTCAGTCTTCGGTGTCAGAGCCCACGTAACACTGCTGGGTTTGCAGACGGCGAGGGGCGGTCGTGGTGTGTGGGCTCCTGTGTCGCTCTGAACGTAGCTCGAGTTTCTTACTGATCCCAACAGTGTTGGACATAGCTCACCGGTTGTTTGCCGGAGGGTTACCCGCCTCTGGAATCAGCCCAGAGGTATTTTTGAGAGTGGGACTGCAGAGGCCTAGAGATCACCACAAATTATACTCACAGACAAACGAACAGAGAAAGGACACCTACCACGCGCAAGGCACTGCTTGAGCCAGGACCGGTGGGAGCACGAAGTTGGAACACAGACCTCGCCCTCAAGGGACTTGCATGGAGCTGGGAAGGTGGGACACACACCCATGAAAATCTTTCCAACCGCATTGGTTGATAACCCCAGACAACAGTACCTGACATGTCGCAGGATGCTCTGGGACTGTGTCGTCTCCTCTAGGCAGGCTGGCTGCCTTGCTGTTTCTCAGTCATGCTGAGCTGGCTCCTGCTTCAGGGCCTTGCACGTGCTCCCCCCGGGTCTGACACATGCCGCCTCCAGACTTCCACATCGTTTTCTCCGTCACTTCAGGTCTCCGAGCGCAACATCACTTCAACGGAGGTGGCTTCCCCGGCCACAACCACCCGATTTCAAAGAGCGCCTCTTCCTCTCCCTCCTTGGTAACTTTCTAGCCTCCTGCCGGCGGCTTTATTTTCCCTTACTGTGTTCACTTAAAATTATATTTCATATTGTTCAGTCGCTTGCTTTTGGACGGTCTCCGGCAGTAAGACATAAACTCCCCGATGGCAGGTTTTGCCTTTTTCCCTTCTGTGTCACCAAAATCTAGAACGGTGCCTGGTACATAGTAGATGCTTAGTTAGCATATGTTGAACGGAGGGAAGGAAGGTGCAGACAAATGCACAGGCGTGTTAAGGTGCGGTGAGTGAGCAAGGTTTACCGGTGCGGAGGGTGATTTTAGAGACGGGTCCGTCCAGTCCTGGTTCTGTTTCATAGACTCAGTCGGGCTGTGCACATGTGCAAGGCCCATTTTTCAAAGTGTCACTTCCTCCCTTTTCCTCTATTGTCCTTTCTTCTTGCCATTCTGGATGAGTCTATCCAGAATTATATGCTAAACTTTCCCCTCAGATATTCTTCCTGCAGACAGTCCAAACTTAATATTTATAGCACCAAACTCATTATCTTTCCCTCCAAACTTGCTTCTCTTCCTGTTTTTCTTATTTCATGTTGGGAGACAAAGTCATCTGCGAGTGCTTCCTCCACGCCCCCATCTCCCGTTGGTCACTGTGCTTTCTAGTCTCCCTGCCCGTCCCTCCCAGCTGTGTCCTCACCTGTCCATTCCCACCGCCGCTGCCCCAGTTCAGGCCGCCGTGACCGTTTCATAACAGGCTGCCTGCGTTCCAGTCTCTCTTTGATGTAGTCCCTCCTCCAGGAAGGGGCCAAGTTATTCTGGCAAAACATAGACTTGATACCATTGCTGTCTGGGGCTCACGATGGTCAGACCCTGGCCTGACCTGTCCTCCCGTGTTCTTTCCACACCACTTGCTGGACCCTGGACATGCCAGCCACCTCACACTGCCCGGCCTTTGATCACGCTAGCTGCTCATGCTCTTGCGCACTGGACACCCCCTCCCCCCCACTCCTGCCCCGTTAATTCAGTCTTCAAGGTCCAGCTTAGAGGTCTCCTCTTTTGAGACGCTCCCTGCCTGATTACCACTTCAAAGAAAACTCAATAAAACAGCATAAATGAACTCCTAATTCTCTTTCTCATCACGCTCTTATGGCATTTTGTTCCAAGTCCCGTTAGGGAGCTTTGCTGAACTATATTTAGTGTGCACGATATGATCTCTCCCCCTACGAGAACGTGAGCTCCACAGGACTAACAGCCAACACACTGAGCAGTAAGTACACTGCTCCAAGCCAGGGCTGTGCTGAGCACCTGATAGAGCAGAACCTCTCACAGCCCTGTACGCAGGTAATGTCACCACTGCGCTATTTCACTTGGGAGGAACCGAGTGCAGGGTGGGAAGGTCCCTCCTCGTGCAAGGTCCCGGAGCTGGAGCACGGCTGGAACCAGCACTTCAACTGAGAAGTGCACGCCCTCAAGCCCCGCCTTCGACCACCTCCGTGAGGGTCAGAGGGCTTGTTTCCTTCTTCTCTGTGTTGCCAGCCCCAGTATTGTGCTGGGCTGTGATGCACGCTCGTCGGATGGTACGATAGAAGGGGATGGTTATGAAGTGTGAATACTTAGCCAATAGAGACTGGTTAGCCCATGATGACGGCACTAGCCCTGACCCTCAATATGTAGGGTATAAATGGGCTCTCCTGAACTTGCACCGTTTTTATTTATTTGTTTTTAAAATTTATATATTTATTTATTTAAGATTTTATTTATTTACTTTTAGAGAGGGAAGGGAGAGAGAGAGAGAGAGAGAAACATCAATGTGCAGTTGCTGGGGGTTATGGCCTGCAACCCAAGCATGTACCCTGGCTGGGAATTGAACCTGGGG